AGAAAATGTGAAATGGGACACTGTGCATTATACATCCATTAAATCTAGGGTGTGCTCATAGTAATTAAGTATCTTAAAATGTATTTTTGAGCATACTTATTATAGCTACACAAAATAGTATTTTGTGATTAATCATTTCATATTTTCTATTTTTTATTCCTTTTGACGTGACTGTATAACCTGCCCCGCCCTATCCAAACTCACCAACTTGATTTTATTATAACATCGATATAGTTTTGTGAATCAATATGAAAATTTGTAGAATCATCAAAATGTCTCTAAGGAACATTTACTGGAAATTTCATGGAAAAAATCAATTATTGATAAAGTTAGAGCATATAGTGCATTACTTCTGGGACAACCCTCGTACTTTAGTATATACACTATTGTTCACTTCAACTTGATTGTAAGATAATGTGACACCAAGTGCGATCACTGCTGCTTTTGGGTTTAATGTCTAAAACAGTATCAGAACTCTCCCGTTTTGCTCCTACCCACATGTCTTCTGTTTTGTTCTTATTGATTTGTAGACCTGAACACTTTTCAAAGTTTTCTAATATTTCCATTACTCGTTTTGCTGATGCTTCATCTTAACTGAATACTGTTGTATCGTCAGCATATTGTGTCACCCGAGCTTCAAAATCGTTTGTTATGTTGATACCTTCTATATCATTATCTGACCTTAATGCTATACTCAATACTTGTGCAACCATTATAAATAGAATGTCTGATATTGGGTCACCTTGTCGCACACCACGCTCCACCCTTAAGAAAAAAGCCATGATGGTAACCATGGTATTTCATGGTACGTCCATGGTAATCCATGGTTTTCCATGGAAATTCATGGTTTTTCATGGTATTTTCCATGGAAATTCATGGAAGCCCATGGTAATATTCCATGGATATTTACAATGATTTACCATGGTAATTAGTGGTTTGATAATTGTTTTTTCATGGACATGTCATGTTTTTACCATGGCACTTGAGTTGTAAAATCAACAATTTGGCAGGTTTTGATTTTACAAAAATCTTCCAAATTGAATCAATGTTTTAACGAATGAATCAGAGCTGGATTGAGACTAATCATAGAGAGAAGAATACTAGTATGATGTCCCCCTCAAATTTTTGGGAAAGTCAACCTTCTTAACAGAAGCTGGTTTCAGGCCTGAAATACAACCATGTTTTTTCCAATCTGAATATATGTTTATTCCATTCTGTATATAGTGTCATATGACAAAGAACTTTTTATTAAATAATTTTTGAATTGATGATTTGACCCCACAATTAGATTTAATAATTTGTTTGCTGGGATTTGCTATCATTAAACTTTGGCACAAATGTAAAAAAGACAAAATAATTGATGAAATCAGCTCACCGGATTCTCTTATTGCAGACTGAATAAACGTTTTTACTAGTAAATCCTGTTTGGTTTTATTTGATCAACAATGAGTTTTTGACTTGCACTGTCTACATTCACAGACAATAATAATTACTGAAGAGGGAGCACTAGAAAGAGTAAGATTATCATATATAATAACAATTAAGATCAGAATATTTAAGAATTATGCAAATGAACTATTATAATCTGTCGCAAAGAGATTAATTTTTTAACATTAATTTGAGAGTTAAGACACCTAATTAACTATGAATAATGGCAACCAAATATTTAAAAATTATGCAAATGATTATATATTCCTATTCAAAGACAATTCAATATTTATTACTATGATTCATGTTTTAAGCCAAATGGTGTTGTTAACCCCCCTCCCTCCTTCATGCAACTACTTTTTAAATGGATTATATATAACATTCTTACCTAGACAAATTTAATTTTGATCACTTAGGTATTACATTTCAGTTTGCAGCCATAGACTTGTGTTTAATCCCCAATCTCAAGTCAAATTTCTGAAAAAGTATATACTTTCTGTGGATTTTTCAGATAATATGCTTGTCACAGAAAATTTCATTTAGAAACTAATGTATTATTCTTTTTTCTGCATCCAAAAGACCAAAAATAGCCCATGGAAAACCATGGACTTTTAAAAGATCAAAAGAATAACCATGGAAAACCATGGACATTTAAAAGATCAAAAGAATAACCATGGGAAACCATGGCTTTTGATTGCACTTTCTGAAACATCAAAGAAATAACCATGGAAAAACATGGTTTTCGATTGCAATCAACCAACTTCCATGGCTTTTGATTGCAGTTTCCTCAACTTCAAAGAAAGAAACCACGGTTTTGATCGCATTCTCAAATGTAAGAAATTAGTTATTTATTTATTAAATTATTGATTTTTATAACTGAAAATTAAAGAAAGTAATGAAACAAAACAGAGCTTAGGCTAGTTTGACTTAATCTTTTTCAAAGGTTAGAAGTGTTTGGCCTCAAAAATAAGCAATCTCTATCTAGTCTTGATCCAAAAGCCCTTTCCACAATTCTCTTTGAAATCTTATGGCCTACTCTGTGCTGATTAACTGCATTGTCATATTTCTTAATAGAAAAGTTACATAATTTTCACATATTTTCTCATTTGTAAGGAAGCTGAGTTTAACATTCGATGAATGCTCTTGCTAAACCTAAGAACCCGGGCCTAAGAAATGAAATGTTCACCCTTTTTTCTCAATGATAAGTCTCACATCAATACATTCATTTTGGAGATTTTGGTAAATACAAATCCTACCAAAATTGTTGATTTTACAACTCCATGTGTTACAGTAAAAACCATGACACATCCATGAAAAACCAATTACCAAACCACTAATTACCATGGAAAATCATGGTAAATATCCATGGAAAATTACCATGGGCGTCCATTAATTTCCATGGAAAATCATGAATTTCCATGGAAAACCATGGATTACCATGGACGCACCATGGAATACCATGGAATATCATGGTTACCATGTTTTTTTTCTTAAGGGCATTTTAAAAAATTCAGATGCTTTCCCATTATTCAAAATTGTGCTTTCGAGGTTATTATGAAGAGCCTTAATAAAATTAATAAAAATTGGACCAAAGTTAAATTTTTGTAATGTTTTCAACATGAATGACCAATTAATACTGTCAAACGCTTTTTTGAAGTCAATTGGTAGGAATATTCCATTCTTATTGTTATCTTTGGTAAATTCCATAAGATCTTTCATTAATCGTATACTTTGTCCAATAAATCTACCCTCTACATAGCCAGTTTGATCTTCGTGTATGATTTTTGGTAAAATTTTCCTGAGTCTTTCACTAAGTACCTTTGTGCATATTTTATAATCATAATTTAAAAGGGTAATAGGCCTCCAATTTTCTAAATGCTGTTTATTTTTTTTTTTTAGGAATGAGTGAGATAATACCTCTTTTTGTGATATTGATGCTTCTCCCTTTATTAATAAGAAATTAAAACTTTTAATCAAATCCTCTTTGATGAAATCCCAAAATGTAAGGTAAAATTCAACTGTTAACCCATCACAGCCTGGGGTTTTATTTTTCTTTAATGATTTTAATGCATGTAAGCATTCTTTTTCAGTTAACTGTTGTTCACAACTATTCTTATCTACCTCACTTATTGTTGGTATATTATCATTTAAAAATTCCCTTTCATATTGTGGATTACTTTCTCTTTTACTGTACAAATCTTTATAATATTATCTTTCTGTTTCTAATATTTCTGAACTTTCTGTTACTAACTTTCCTTGCTTGTTATATATTGAGTTTATTACCTTCTTTGTAAATTTTTTTTCCTAAGTTCAGAAAATACTTGAGATTTTCTCCATATTCACACCAGTTTGCTTTGCTCCTTATCATACCGCTCCTTGTTCGTCTATCTTGTATTATTTCAACCTTAAGTTTCGATCTATTGTATTGCATTAAAGTGTTCTCATTTTTATTTTTATCTAATTCCAACTGTGCTTTATTCAATTCAACCAAAGCTTCTTTCTCTTCATTTTTCCTTTCTCTGGCCTTGTTCTTACTAAATTTCTGAGTAAGTTACATCAATAAATTTTATTTTTGCTTCCTCAATTGCTTTTTGCATACTCTCTAAGTATTTGGGGTCTCTATCAAACATAGCATTATATTTCCAGAAACCTGGTCCACGTTCTGTGAAGTCCTTAGGAATGTAGTTTAAAACAGCTGCATGATGGTCAGAGGAAGGGCCCCATATACACTACGTTAAATGCAATCACACACGGTGCTTCCGGGTTAACTCATACCCCATTCTTAAAAACCTCCAACGGCAGGAAAGCTGATCATTTTATCAATCAAGTGTTTAAAAGTTCTCCTGTCTTCCTCTTACAACTCATTTCTACATTAGTGCCGGGAGGGCTGCATGCTATCTCCAGCATTATTTTCAGTTTATGTGAATGATTTAGTGTCTGACATCAACGGTCTGCAATGTGGAGCACAAATAGAGGTCCAGAACATAGGCATCCTCCTTTATGTTGATGACATGGCACTTATTGCAAGCCCAACAGATAATTTACAATGGATGCTAAACACTACATAAATGGTGCCGCGAGTGGAAACTTTTGATTAATCCTCGAAAATCCAAAATAGTTCACTATCGTCCAAAATTAAACCCAATGTCGTACTATGCCTTTAAATGTAGAGACTTCGATCTGCAGTATACTGACACTTCATAATAACTCGGGATCTGGCTACAAGAGCATGTAGATTCAACACATCCGATCAAAGAAATTGCAAAATCGGCTATTAGGGCTTTCAGTGTGATAATCAGTAAATACAGGGTGGTCAAAAAACGGCAACTCTGTATTTGCCTCATATCTCATATTAGAAAACTCAAAAGTTCTAAAAATGTAAGTACATCATAGCACACTCAAAATATTGATTGAGAATGTGCATAATACTTACGCCTCATCCAATATTTGTTTCTCGAAAAGGTATTCTGCCATATCCAACTTTTGATCATCCAGTTTTTGTATAATATTGCCCTTTAAATGACATATTGTTCTAGCGTTCATCGTTACAGTCATAACAACAGTACAGTGTATGATTTAGTATGTATTGATATGTATTTTAACAAGTCAAATTCATCATAACTAAAATTAGAAATATTCTATGTATTAGTTTAAATGTGTGATGTGTGTTTCTCATCGTTATACAAAATCTTCACATCCTTCTGGGACAACGGTACTGTTAATGCATTTTGTCGTATCACGCGTGTTTATTAAAACCTCGCACCGTAACCTTTGATTTTCCTCAGAGAAGATATAATCTGCTACACACGAACTATATCTGAACTCTGTTGTATCCGTACATAGCCTTCTACAATGTGTTTGTGCGTTCCTATATAATTCACCATCCACTTTACTCAATTTTGGCAGATCTGGGATATCATTGTCTTCGCAGGAATCAGAGCTGGAATTATTATTTAAGATAGATATATAGGATAATTTGACAAATGTTCAGTCTAAAAAGTTAAATTATTTGAATTAGTACACATCGAGAAAATGGAAAACATGAAACCTCAATAGCGTCGCCACACGTACGTCAAGTACGCACAGGCGTACTCTCAACTTTTAAAGAAAATAATAATTTCCGAGACCAATTATGATGAAATTATTTCAAAAACATAAAAATCTGTGAACATTTACAACGACTTCTTTTTGATTCATCATTCTGTTGTGTAAATATGAATACAGAATAGATTTGGAAATAATTTCTTGGCATAGATCTCTAATATGGACGTAAGAGATCTCATATAGAATTGACTAGGGTTGACTAGGGTCCGAGTTAACTAGGGTCCGAGTTGACCAATTACCAATCTGAAGATAATGCACCTCATACGGAAATAAAGTTGGCACATTAAACGCACCGAAAGTTGATAATTGAAAGCACCATCGAACTCATATGAACACATAAAATGATCTTGCGAAGCTTAAGTCAATGAACCTCTTTCTCATATAGTGGACGTTACCCCTTTATAACAAATTGGATGAATTGTTTTTATTTTCATTATTTTCACCAAGAAGGATGTCGATTTGTATTCCATACCTGATGAGGTTTCAGGGACATATCAACCGGGAATATATTCCATATCCGGGCAAATATTTTTCGTATGTCGCGCTCACACGATAATCCGGGTCATATAAATCATTTGCCCCGCATAAGCCGTTCTCTGGCTATATGTCCCGCCCCTATGGCTGGCCAAGTGGTACAAAGTTACGTCGTTATGTTTACGACCGTGAGGTCGTAAATGTAAAACCGGAAGAACGTAAAAATACGTCCTTAAGGTCGTTATTTTCGGTTCCAACATCGTAAATAAACGACCACAAGAACGTAAATGTACGACCATAAGGTCGTTCATTTACGTCAGTAATGTCGTAATAACACAGTAGTGAGGTCGTAAATTTACGTCAGTAAGGCCGTATAACACGGTCGTAAGGTCGTAAATTTATGTCAGTAAGGTCGTATAACGCGGACGTAAATTTACGTCAGTAAGGTCGTAATAACACGGTAGTGAGGTCGTAAATTTACGTCAGTAAGGTCGTATAACACGGTGGTAAGGTCGTAAACTTACGTCAGTAAGGTCGTATAACACGGTCGTAAGGTCGTAAATTTACGTCAGTAAGGTCGTAATAACATGGTAGTGAGGTCGTAAATTTACATTTCGACTATGAGGTCGTTAATTTACGTTCTTGGAACCGATAATAACGACCTTAAGGACGAAAATAAACGACCTTATGGTCGTATATTTACGTTCTTGCGGTCGTACATTTACGAACTTTCGGTCGTAAACATAACGACGTAACTTTGTACCACTTGGCCAGCCATACGCCCTGGGAATTCACGTCATAATTATTTCTGCACTGAACTAAACAAAAGACAAAAATAGAAGACGAATGAACAGAGCAAAATGTAAGATTTGAAATGAATGGTGTTGATAATTCTTAGAAATCACCGCTGCAAATGAGCATGCAACAAAGAAAACGCGTTTATATTTCGGAGTACTCAATGATTACTTGGCTACCAAGGGTGAACTTCGGTCTATAGAAAATCTGGAACCAGAAGACATTCTTATTATTTCAAACCTCATCAGGTATTGAATGCAACAGATATGCACGGTCGGTTTGGATACAGGGAATATCCCTTGGTATATCCAATTTATCTTCCCCTGGTCCCTACGGGAAGATATATTGTATATCCCTCTGGATATTCCCCATAACCAAAACCTCCAAGTGCATAACCCCTATGTATCCAAATATTTACCTGTTTGTTAGTAGTAATATCCAGTTAATAAAAAGCGAATCGGTCACAGTTATATACATCCAATGGCTCCAATGATTGTACGAAAAAACCTCGTTTTAGCAACCAGGACGTTATCACAACGCAAGCAAAACGTTATGAAATTCGCCAGATAATCTCCTTGTTTTTAAAGTGAAGTATATTGTAATTCTCAATCGATTAACGGAGCTGCTGGATACATTTGCTCGTGACTGACTAGCTTCTCTGCAACCGGATGTTACCATAAACATACGGGTAAACTATTGAGATAAAAATTAACATCTCTGTTGATGAAACTAATTTGTTTTCTGACTAAGGCTCATCCATTTTGTTATAAAGACGCGACATCTTTATATCCAGATAGGGACTCTGAAACTTGACGGACGCACACTGTAAGATTCGACTAGCTACGCCTCTTAACATGGACATAAAGTTGTGTTTTAAACATACTCGTCATCATATAATGGTAGTGAATCGGTATTCTTCCAGCTATTGCCAATCAGCGTCCCTTTGTTGTCTCTGCTTTTCACTCTTGCACCTGTTTTCGTAACGTAATCGTCATCAACAATACCATTGTAGTTTCCGCACATACCTACATGTACAATGTTTATTTGGATTTAATCAAGTAGAGATGCAGATTTTGAAACCCAATTAAGATTTCCACTTGTAGTTGTAGACAGTCTTAACCCCCCCTCTCACACCAAACTAGTTCTTACCCGTTCTTGCCAGTCCTACGAAAACGTAGTAAAACGGGCTCAATCTGGCTGTGGTCGGGAAATATGTCTAAAATAATTAGCTACTTCGTTCATAAACAGTCTTCAATACGTCCATCTCATTTGCAGTTCGTTCTGATCGCACCAAGTCGTAATGCAACGTCGTATAACGTGTACCTTTGGCTAGAAGGTCATCATGACCTGATTACAGAACGGTTTGGTTGTCATCGAATTTTGAACGTTGTAGCTACGTTCATTCAGTTCGCACACAGTTTAAAACCGATTCGGCAACGTTTTGAAGAACGCAGTGACAACTGGTTCTGGTGTGATAGCTATTTTTGTTTATTCGTTCATATGCAGTTTTTAATAGGTTCATCTCGTCTTAATTCCGTCTGCAGTATGTTGGTATCAAGTTTAGATCGGTTTAAATTGTGCGTTCGTCTCGTCTACACAACGTATCCAATCAGGACAATTACGTCCTTGATCAGTTTAAACCTGTTGACAATTAGTTGTACCTCGTTCTCGATACGCCTAATATGTTACTGAATTATCCACCAAATCTCCATACGGTTGAACTCGTTCTAAAATAGTAAACATCGTGTCCCTAATCCGTGCAGAACGCATTTATAATCCCCTATTTTCCTGATTGGGGTTCCCACGGCTGCAATTTACGCCTGACTACACAACGTCGTAATACGTCCCTAGTAGGGTTGAAGTACGACACATCCGTTCGTAGTCACTGGTGATCCACTCGATTACGCCGTAACAAAGTGTCGGAACGTCGAAGGTAAGATTTTTCTGTTTTCTTATTTCAAGCGTTGTAGGCAGAATCCACACGACGTTTTTTCACACAAACGTGTATCAGTATCATATGTATTAGAAAATGTACATGTTTGCGAAAAAAATAGCTCAGAAGACAACAGAATCGTCGATTTAATTCCTCACTTAAGTTACATAAACGGTTTGGGTTAAAAGTACAGATCTTAACTGTTTTTCGAAATACCGTTTCGGTAACTTAAGTGAGGAATTAAATCGACGATTCTGTTGTCTTCTGAACTATTTGTTCGAAAATATGGACATTTTCTTAAACATATGATACTGATACAAGTTTGTGATAAAAATGTCGAGGGAATTCTGCCTACAGCGTGTGAAATAAGGAAAAAATAAAAATCATACCTTCGATGTTCCGACATTTTGTTACCAAAACGAACCGTTTCGGTAACCAGCGTAATCGAGTGGATCACCAGTGGAAGTGTGTCGCCAGTGCGTCCAGGTCGTCTTAAGTACGTTGTCACTCGTTCTGATTGCAGAGAGTGAGGATCACCAGAAAATTTTGAGCATGCTCTAAGTTCTGGAGGACCTACTCGTTCGAGTAGTTTCATGAAGTTTGTAAACAGATCCCAAACGGTTCTTAGTGGGTTCTTAGTACGTCAAATTCGTTCGTGCACAGTTTAAGCCCGATTTCGAGAACGTAGTGAGAACTAGTTTGGTGTGATAGTAGGGTAAAATCAACGTACTACATGATCGAAATGGCCATAATGAAGTCAGTTGTAAAACTTTATTCACCTTTCCCCAAAGTCAGCTCATGAATATTATAATTAGCAAATCTGAAATCTCTGACGTCAGAGTAGGGCAGATTTTCGCGGGAAAATCCTAACACATTAGAAGTCAATGTGAATCGTGACGGAAATGGGTTAATTTTATTGTCAAATTATGTTGAGTAGTAATAATATTTATGATAAATGTAATGGAATTTAATTTTTTATACTCACGTCTATATTCCCCCTTCTTTATATTGTTCTGGCGAATCAAAAGAATAGAAAAATATTGATGTGAAGAGTCCAATGTTTCCTGTACATTTTCAAATTACGCCAACTGTACAAAACCCCATGTTTAGTTCCTGACTGTCAAAATGTCAACATCCCATTGTAATCTCATGGGTTGAAGAAGGGGTACGGCTTATTCTTGTAAAAAAAGTATTCGACTCTCAAATCTGGGCCAAAGCGTTACTTTCACTTACGTTTAGCCACCTATCATACCACATGACAATGTTACTTTTATGTCTGCCGAAGAATTTGACAATGGTTACATGAGTGATGACTAATTTCAATCTTAACAATCTTAAGGCCGTTCATGTATGCGTATTGAGACAATGTACCAGAGTTGCTTGTTTTACCGACGACCGTTTATTTGAAGAGATTTATCTCTTGAAAAGCCCATGGGCGTTCTTTTAAATATCGAACTTTTTAGAGATCTTTCAGGATATTTTTGGACGTAGACCAACAAGAGAGAAACTCCGGCAATTCAACCCCGTAGTCAGGATTTACCTGGGGGAGCAGTTTACCAAGGGGGGGGGCTTTTTGACAGTTTTGGCAAATAAAATCATGCAAAAAGTGCTCAGAATGGTGAAAAGCTGCATAATTTTGAAAGAATATCTGACCTTCCGCTCACGCCACCCCCCCCCCCCTCCTCCCCGAGGGCTACGGGCATGTAATTAAGCTTAGAATTGCAATTAAAATGCAAACTACTACAGTCTACTTACAGTCTTATTGTTTGAATGATTGTCAATTTTTGGTGTGCGTAATTGGATGAACTTTGTTAAAAGGCTAGCACACGTATCACAATTATTTCTATGGTTTGATTTACCGGATTGCGTATTTAAGACACAGCTTAAGGCAAACTAGTCAGAAAAGAATATTTCACTTATTTTTGTTATCATTTTATAATGCGATCTATTTCACTCATTTGGCGATCTAATAGTAATTGAAGTTTTGGCGCGCAATGTGCCCTGCTTTGACGTCATTGATTTTCATCGACCAATCAGCACAGCGGTCAAATGAGTACACTTTGGACTTTGGGGAAAGGTGAATATTTAGACAGCTTTAATGCTAATTAGAGATTTGTTTAATTAGTTTTAATCTCATTCACGTACCTTTGACTTTTTCTTTCCAAAAGTCGCCTAAGTATATCCTTGCTTCATGATTTTTTTTAAACTGCACTTTTATCGCCAAGGGATCAATTACAACAGTTATGATACGGTACCTTGAATCGAACGATATGTCGGCTGTGACTTCTGTATCCGTATTTTGTATATTTCCAATTTTTACTTTTTGAGGCAGATTTGTAATATCGGTCATTTCTTGTTTTTTTATATCGATTTTCTACAAATAAAGAGTAGCGGAATTTTGCGATATTCGTAATCAGAATTCACTATCAAATAAAGTATATATAGTTTGTTAGTCCAAAATAACGTGGATATTTTGAAAAAAATGTATATTAGGAACATATTCTTGAAATTCTACAAAGGTCCATGAGAGGTATGGCAAGTGATTTTAGACGATCACAGCTTTCATCACGATTGCTTTCTGAGCATTATTGAAACAATGTTTCAATCCAAGTGAAGTCCAAATGATGATAAAAATACCAATCAAACAATTCGAAAAATTATGAAAAGTGACCCCTTATCCATGTAAATAATTTTCTTGTTTTTTATATTTTTATCGTACAAGATACGATTATTCGACAAGGGGTCTAAAAGTTCTTATTAAGACGAATGATTTGAAAGTCTTGTTTTGAAGATATCAATTATCGATGACCAAAAGTATGCTGAAAACAATGGATAGCACGAGTTCTCCCTATGGGAAAACATTTGATGTGTGGTTTTAACTTGAGCGCATTTCAAACGCCATCGCCTTTCAGAAATTGTTAATAAAGAAGAAGAAACTGTTGATATGCTTATATTTAAAAAAAATTAAGATCCTCTTTTAAGAGCCTAACATTTTTTTAAATGCCAAGGTAGGATCCTTTCAAAGAATTGAATTGATATTTTACTATCCTCGGGACTTCACTTGAACGACACATTTTTATATAGTGATTAAAAACCACAGTATCTATGGCCAGGGAGTAATCATGGTAAAGGAAATGACCGTCTACAATTGATTGCAATACCTCACAACAATGATCAATTATATAAATTTGTTTTCAAATATTATTTTGTGCAGCTTAAACTATAATGCCAAAGAGATTGGCAAGCCATTAAGTATTAGAAATTTTTATAATAAATAAATATAAATAAGTTGGCTTTGTATACTAGAATGATGTAACTTGATGAAACCTACTCGGACATCATACTCCGAACTACTTGATATTGCTCCAATGTATATGTCGACCTTGTCCAAAACTCTGATTACAGCATATTTGGCCCATGATACTGAGTTCCACTGACCGGTTCCTCCTCCGTGTATCCAATTGCGTACTGATATTTTAAAATGTTTGTCAAAACCCTCAGGGATATCTTCCATTGAAGCAACATATAGACAATGGCCTTGAAAATCATAATGTGCCCCATCGAGTGTATTGTAATGAGGATCGCCAACTATTGTACACCATCCCGGTTCATTACCTTATAATAAAGGTTGAGAGGTATAACATGTTCAAAACAATCAATCACATTTATTTAAAACTTCGCAGGGTTCAGTTATATGGACTCGTTCCTAAGTGACACTATGTAAAGTAAAGTCAATGTTACACCAAAAGAATCGAAACTGATTCACGACTTTGTATTTATGTAATGGATGAACCGTGCGTCCTGAGAATCAGGTGAAATAAAAGCCATCCATACTGACTCTAGTAAGAGGTAATGGTCCATGATACAATCTGGGAAATTTCTTTTTAATGACTATTTCTCTACAGGTGATCCATGTAAGTGCTACTATCAATATTCGTCCAATGAAGAGTGTGATACAATTTAATTAATATGGTCCACGAACTGAACAAACTTCACATCATAGCTTTTGAATTCAATGATTATAAAGGTGACAATTGTTGAAAAACTTGAACAGACTGGAGTTGATGTAACACGATTGGGGATAATTAATACTGATCTAGTAAGTCATGATCAAAAGACTAACCAAGTTATATTACAGCCCAATTTTAACTCTTACCATTAGTATAGTCTGGTAGTGTATTTCGTGTACTACACGTTGGGCCTTCGAAAATTGGATGACATTTGCACGCACAGGTTTCACCATCACAGTTGCATACTCCGCCATCACCACAACCGCAAGAGTCCGCTGGAATAAAAAAAGGCAAGTCTGAACATTCTCACAGAGTTGATAGATACAATATTGCATTTCATTTCTGAGATATAGAGTTACTCCATATATTAGATCCATATATTCGTCACTTTCTGTTTGCATACCCGAATGATAAAAACAATTTCACGATAAAATGTACAAAACTTGACATGACGTCATTATGTTTAAGTTCTTGAAAGATGTGGATGTTACTGACATCGATTGTTACTTTTAAAATCGAGAAACTTTTTTGATTCATAAGGGACGTTAAGACATTTTGATTTTAGGAGAACTTGCACATGACCGTGTAGAATTATTGTCCTCTTGGGATTAGTTCTACTCTTAGTCGAATAGATCCCTGGATGAAGCTATTGAGAGGTGGACAAATTGAGATGGGGGTAGTTGCAGCGATCCCTGGCCAAGTGACCAATTACTATAAGTTCTCTTTAAACGTTAGTACTTCAACTTCAACTCCCAACTGTGTTTTCGTTAAACGTAAATGTTTATGTGCTAATAGATACGAACATTCGTATTCTGCCAGTGAGCTACACCCGTAACATTTAAAAGAATTAATAAGAATGTGTGTACTAACGCTGTGAACAACCTGCTCCATTAAAACCAGTTTTACATCTACAATACTGTGTACCATCCGGTAGTTCTTCATATCTCCCATTGAGACAAGCCTGTTCCATCGAGTCTTGGAAATAAATAAAAGAGATACAAGTAAATGTAGAGTTTTGTACAAAAATATACCTTAATTAAATTGTTCACATAAATTAAACAACATTCTTACTACATTGAAACGCTGATTTTGGCACTCCACAGTTGGCCGCTACCTGGCCAAGAACGGTACATCTATCATCTCTCATGTGATAATAGTCAACTATACATGACTCTATAATCATGGCCCTGTGATCTGCATCTGCGCTACAAACTGGATCAAAACATGGCGGATCTTGACCTTGGTCACATGCAGCATTACACCGATCTCTGGCTCTAGCCACTAATGTAGCATCTGGCATAGGAGGAGTATCACTATTTGTTTCCGCTTTACATCTATAACGCATTTGAGAATGTAGCATAGAGTATATGCTAAAAATATGTTTAATGTCTTACAAGTTCCCACCTATACATTTACAAATCATTAACAGAGTTATACTATTGAACATATAATGCTATGAAGCAACAAAAATTGCAGATCCAGATCCTTTAGATGTTGTGTGATACACGATTAATCTCTAATTTCATTTATTGGATACAAAAAAACTAGATTTGTAAATTGAAGACTCCAGATTGTATTGACCTAGCTAGTTGAGTAAAGAGCTGAGTAAAGAACAGAGTAAGTAACTGACTGAGTTAGTAGATGATTATTAAGTAATTGAGTAAGTAGTTGAGTAGGTAGCTGATTGCGTAGCTGAGTAAGTAACTAAGTAAGCAGCTGAGTATGTAGCTGAGTAAGTAACTTCATTGAGTAGCTGAGTATTTTAAAATGGCGTAGAATCGGATTCGGAGAATCGGAGAAAATTCTACATCTTTTTCATAGCTCATACGTTGAATTTTGAGAATCTATTGTTTTGATCTACTTTCCGGACGTCATATCTCAAAATCGGTAAGAGTAATCAAAAAAGGACAGTGACATTAATGAAAGGGCTGTTTAATCTACATGATGAAAGAGATGAAGGCATAATGACGAATAGTGACGAGGATAATTAAGAGAACGTTGGAAATGTAAGATTTAACCTAGTTCTTGCCCTTGGTTTTTCAGTGTCCAAATTTATATTAAAGTAGCTTTGGGGGCCTATTCTATTGAAGGCTTTCATTTATTTTATTTGTATCCAGTCTGTATCTCGTATCGTCACGATTCATAATTTTCTTGAGCTCCATAGATTTAACAGAGCAATATCATCATATCGATTTTTTAACTTCAAAACATCATAACTTCCGAACCGGAAGTCAAATCGAAATTTAGTTTGCAGACTTAGATTCCTTAGAAAATTATACATTTATTTCATAACTCATACATTGAATTTGGAGAACTTTATTTAGCCTACTTTTCGGACATCATATCTCAAAAGTCGGTCAAAATACTTTCTGACGGCAAAAGGCTTACAGTATTAGCACACTCTTTGCTACCTGTATACAAAATTTTGAAGCAAATCATTAAAATGAAGTGTCAGAATCGCAACAATAAGAAAAACCCATGAATTTGACCTAGATTTTGACCTAGGCATTTTAGTGTCCAAATTTTGAAGCAAAGTAGCTTTTGAGGTCCCCTTCTAATATAGGCTTTTATTATGTTTAGCTGTATTCAGTCTATATCTCGTATTTTTCACTTCAAAAAATTATTTTGTCCCATGACTTAACATCGATCACCAAATTTGAGCTTTTAAAACGCCATAACTTCCGAACCGGAAGTCGGATCGAAATTTGAATTTACCTGTGGTTAGCGACTTGACAGCTGTTCCCTATCAATGTACCATAATTTGGCAGATTTGACACATCTTTTTGCCTGAATCCACACGTCATTAGATCATCAGTACTATCTCTGTTAAGATTCTGACACAGTCCTTCTAGTTCTCCACCCCATGCCTCACTGTCTAAATAGACCAGGACTTCATGGTTGCCATCAAAAAGTAGACGTAGTCTCAATGTTGGGACGCTGATTTGTATGAAATCATCATGTGATTTTATTCGAGTATCACATCCACCATCAACACATTTTTCAATTCGTACCAAGTGATATGTGTAGTAGTCTGTGAACTGAATCGGTCCATCAAGGTTTAACCTTTTACCATTCCACTACAAAATATTATGCCATTTAATGCTACGGACCAAAAAAAATAGTAAACGGATAGCAAATATATTAGGTTAAATAAATATATATTATCGACATATATAAATATTGCTTTCATGACAATGTATAGATTGTATAGTTTCAAAAATTAGAAAATTAGACATACCGATACAATTTTTCCCTGGCTGATTCTGAAGACGTCTTTAGTCAAATGTAGCTCAACATAATCGGTGGTAGAAACCGTCGCACCCTTGTGTGATTTTTTGTTTTTGGCCTGAATGCTAAATTTCAGCTCACTTTTCAGCATTTTTGTAGTTGGCTTTACGAGATAGTATTTACAATCACCCTGCATGTCGTATTTTTTCTTGTCGAATGTAATGTAATGAACATCTCCCCATCCTCGACACATCACCATGTCTGCAATTAAAAGAAATGTAGTGTATCTGTTTCATAATTATCTAACAAACAAAATTAGACTAGATGCGAGTAGAAATATCTTGTATTCGCGAATGCAATTCAGGAAGCGGCTATCGATAAGATTGAAATTCAGGCGATACAGGCCTCCTAGACTTCCATCAACGCGAACATCAGTTCTGACCTCGCGAACAACGTTCCTTGCACTCGATCTGTTCACTTACTCAACCGAGTGACTTCATAATAATTGATCGTTAAAGTGGCATAATATTCATGCAATCACTATTTTATGAAAACTGGTAGGTTAATCCGATAGCCGACAGCCGCAAGTTTCATTTGCGAATTCAGTGGAAATGACTCATGTCATGCATTAAATATCAATTATTGATACCACCTTTGAAATCTACATTTTAATTTATATATTATATAATCATTTTTGCAAGTTAACTGGAATGTTAAATTATGTTCAATAAGTCAGAGACACGATGCCCCTAATAAATAAAAACGTCCCATTCTTGAAAACAGAAACTAAGCACATTGAATGATAATGTGTATGGATTAGCTTACCTTCGTCTTCACCTTTCTTTATTGAACAGTCACCTCCAGTATATCCCGGTGCGCAGACACAACCGCATACTGTTTTCTTGCCATTGTAATATCTTCTGTGCCAACCTCCATTATAACATATACTTCCAATACAACTTCCTGAATAAGACACAGAATTGTTAGCGGGTAATTAATACAGTGTGTCCCCAAAAATGCAACAAAGAAAAACATTGTAAAATCACGAAACCAGCTTTATCACGTAGCCACGTGTTTCCCCTTTCAAATGATATGTCATTTGTTCATATGTAATCATGGACCACGAAAAATCATTGTTTTCGTACATGCGTGAAAAGGCATTTGTGCCTAGTTATGAAAATCAATCAACAGATCCTTATTATGCAATCAGGTAAATCATTATGTAATTGGTACTGGGAATTAAATTATTGTCACAAGATTTACATAACATAAGTTTCTGATTTAGATTTACTAAGAAAAAATGAAAAGAAAAGATCCATGTGCAGTATGGCAAGTGATTTTAGACAGTCATATCTTTGCTCGGTATAAATAGTAGTTTTTATTAAAACAATATGTTTTCTTTAAAGTGAAGTCCCCGTGATGGTAAAATATCAATCCAACTCTCTGAAAAGTTATGGATTAGGACACCACCTTGTCACTTTTTAAAAAATGTAAAGCTTATTTTCTAAAAGAGGATCTTTTTTCAATTTAAATGTATGTAGTTTCTTCTACACTATATTAATAACTTCTGCAAAGGGATGGGTATTGAAATGCGATAAAGTTGAAAACCACATTTCCCATGTTATTTTCCAATAGGGAAAACTCATGCTTTCCATTGTGTTCAGCATGATTTTGGTCATCGAAAATTGATATCTTCAAAACTAAACTTTCAGTACCATTCTACCTTTGAAGATGTTTTAGACCCCTTGTTGAATAATTTTTTCATGCAATAAAAATCAGAAAAAGAAGATCCTCTTTTGAGCAAATGAGTTCAACATTTTGAAAACATTGTTGACGCGGGGTCCATATTTATATTTTTTCGAATTGTTCGATTGTTATTTTTATCATCATGGGGACTTCACTTGAAAGAAAACAAATTGTTTTAATGAAAACCATTTTATTTAGGCCCAGAAAGTACTCATGGTGAAAGATATGACCATCTAAAATCACTTGCCATACTGCACATGGACCTTTAACTTTAAGTGTTAATCCGTATCCTTGTTGGTTCAGTTAACGAAATTTGGAAAAAGAAGTGGCATAAGCAGTCTTTGTCGGTCATCTTACGAAAGATTACACATGAAAGATTACATTCCATGCCCTTTAACATGACCACTATTTCTCTACACACAGAAACTGGCTTGTATGTCCATGTCGCACACCTCTTTGAATAATCTGGGGTCCCAGTGGAGAGCAGCAACCTCATTGGTGACGCTTTTTTAACTGTTGCAATGTCTAAAACTTGGTCCAGAGCAGATTTTGGCTCACTGTGCAAAAGGAATGATTTTTTAGTGGTCTGTGGTCGTATATGAATAATTGACATACCATTTCGAAAAAGAGACGTGTGGCTTCCTGGTAAATTAAATCAAATTGATGTAATCATCACTGGTTTTGTGATTTTACAATCTGTTTGTTTGTTGCGTTTTTGGGACGCACTATATATATTCAAATCACTATTTTGAATACTATAGTTGGTGTACTATGGCAACCGTTTCTAAAAAATATATTTCTATAATTCAGTTCTTCTAAATAACTCTGCTGACCTACTCTAAGACAATGTCATTAGCATATGGAAAACACCATGAAATGGAAAATAGAGAGATGGAATCAGTTTAGGATTACCCCTCGTAGGTTAACTTTCTAAGATGCATGGTGTTCTGCTATTGATATATCCTAAACACATCTTCGGAACGTGGTTATATGATATCACATCCATATTTAGCGAAAGCAAACTTACCATCAATATGACAATGCTGCATTGTTTTTCCACACGCCATTGCAACATCTGCCCTTGCCTCACATTTCGAATCCAATGTCGGTGCACTGTATATATCCATAACACAACTTCTTGTTTTGAATTGCTTGTGGTCGATTCTTTTACCAAAGCATACGTCGTACAAGTTGCATGCCTTCCGCGCTGTCATAAAAGCGCCGGAGTCAAATTCATGGTCTGGATTATTCCAAGGGATATCCCAATTATCTTTTCCCGGACAATAACAATCATTGCTGAAAGAAATTTAATATACAATTAAACTCAAATAATATAGGTTAATTCAAATATGTTTACGAGGTAATAACTATAGGATTGGTACCGATATGGTAAACTGAATTGATCACATGTTTCTCTTAAACCAGTCAAAAAATTCTAAAAATATTGCACATCGTCAATTAAATGATCATCATTTGAATGGTAACAATTTAATCTGAAAAACATGTTATGTTTTTTGCTATATTGTTCAAGAAAAACACTTCATACACTTCTTTCGTTTTTAGTATCATATGTTCGGAATGAAATGAAACATCTACTCTTCAATCCTATGGTACAAAAGTTAAGAAGCACTTTTGGTTTCGTTCAACAATGATGGTTAATGGCGTATCGTTACAAAATGATGTCAGCATTACCTAAGTTCGCTGATTTTAAAGCAACCACTTACTCCCAATATTCCTCAGCCCAACCTTCCATAACGGCACAACCTCCGAAACGATGGATCATTGCAAATATTCTTCCAGGGTTGACATAATGCCTTATATCTTCTCGGAAATCATCGTCGGGATCACCATTAAAGTTTCCACACATTCCTGCCAATCCATTATTTTTGTAGACGGGATGTAACTTAAGGTGCACTCGACCCGTACCTCTTCCGCTGTACGATAATTCAATTCCAAAGTGAGGTACACTGATGTGAACCATTTCCCCTTCTTCATAAAGACGAACTTCTATGTTTGCACCAGGTTGTTGAAAATTATTTGGAGTTTTGTGTTCAATAGGTATTGTCAGTGGTTTTCCTCCCTTTAATTATATATTAAGGTATTTATTCCATCGAACGAAGTTCGGAGGGATATAGGGAACGCCTCCGTTCGTCCCTCCGTCCGTTCCGCCGTCCGTCCGTCCATCCGAGCGATAACTCGAATACAGTTGGCTTTATTTCGTTCATATTTTGTATATACGTGGGTTGATCCAAAAGTTCCAAACCGTTTGCTCTAAAAATCTTAATACTTTATGAATATTGTTCATATTTGGCCACGACCACCCCATATATAGTAGTTTCATTTTGTGTAAGAATAAGTAATAAATTTGACCAGCAACATAGGTGTCTGGTTACCATAGCAACATGACACCAGGGTAGGTCGAGCAAGAGTACGACACAGTTATCCTGGTCCAACGTCAATGGAGCTTATCAATCATAGGTCAGTTACAAAACCGTATCACTCACGTATAAATTTGTAAACTAGATAACAGTTTTATGAGGTACGTTGATCTATTTTGAGTCAATCAATTAGGTATGACACTTACTCAGTTTAAAAATGTTTTCCAAATGCTGAAGGAAGATCTTAAAGATGCTATGAAAAAAAACGACCAGATCTCCTTGGGAACTTTTACTTTCACCAGGATAATGCCCAAACCTGCAGAGCCAATGTTACAATAGAGGCAATACACGAGTGCTTGCAGGCCCAACTACAGCCCCATCCGCAATATTCTTCTGATATGGCACCATGTGACTTTCATATGTTTCCTGAGGCCAAGAAACCACCGCGTGGTATCCATTTCGATGACGAAGCTGACCTTATCCAGGCGTTTACTAATAGCGTTTATGCTACAGCTAAAGGTGAACTTCACCTTGTATATCAGGACTTGTTGAAACACTGTAAGAAATGTGTAGCACATGGTGGTGACTTTTTTGAAGGCGAATGAACTTATACACTATAATTGCCTATTGTAGGAGATTTTATGGGGGTAAAACCCCACGAATTGAAATGATCTGAAACAGCTCTTCAATTGCTGTAATTCGGAATAAAGTTTTATTTATTCCAGCTTCACCTACCCTATTGTCATGTTGCTAATGTAACCAGACACCTGTGTTGCTGGTCAGATTTATTGTTTATTTTACAAAAAAATGAAACTACTATATATGGGGTTGTTGTGCCCAAATATGAACAATATTCATATAATATTAAGATTTTTAGAGCAAACGGTTCGGAACGTTTGGATCAACCCTCGTATATGCTCTATCACACGTGGTGATCGTACACAATGGATGGAGGGAGGAGTAGGCGATTTCTGCAAGAAAACTCAACAAATTTGGAAGAATTATTCTTTCAAGAGAAAATCGACAAATGAATTGCCAAAATGAAAAGGCGCACTGCATGGCAAAATATATTAGGTCTTCTAGTATTTTTGAACTGATGCGCTTCTAAGATATGAGATATATTAAAAAAGGCGCATCATCACCAACGTGCAAAAGTCAATGTTTTTGCTATGAATCAGGAAAAATGGTCCATGCAACCTGTAATAAAAAGGTACAAGGGACGTTATTATCACAACAATAATGGCATTGGTCACTTTTCAAAGTGAGTTTCCATGCATTATACAAAAAAATAATCGAACTAGATTAATATTGGATGGAGGGGGGGGGGTTATATGTCTTTACGAAGGAAAAAATTCACAAGAAAAAACTCAGTACTCCAGAGAGAAACTGGATATTACCAGGTCATTCTAATGTTGACTTAGTTACTCGACTTGACTGTTTAGCGGCGGTTTGGTCCCCAGATGTGAGAAGATGCAAATCTTCAGATATCTCTACCAAAAGCCTCGATATATCTCCAGTTCTTTTATTATTCTCCCCTATATTTTGCACAAGGACTCCCATTACAACCATCCATCTCTGCATCAACACATTTATTACAAGTTAAACGCACCAATTTCCAAAAGTCCTATGCAGCTTATCGAAATTGATCAAAACGCCCCGTTCTCTGCCAAAACGCCCCATTGGTTCTATACACCTTACCTATACACGTTTGTAGTCATAGACTCTGCAGGGCGTTTTGGAAGACAACGGGTCGTTTTTGTCAATTTTGAACAGTTGCGTAGGACCTTTTTAAATTGCTACGTTTAATGTAATAAATGTGTTGATGCAGAGATGGATGGTTGTAATGGGAGTCCTTGTGCAAAATATAGGGGAGAATAATAAAAGAACTGGCGATATATCGAGGCTTTTGGTTGAAATATCTGAAGATTTGCATCTTCTCACATCTGGGGACCAAACCGCCGCTAAACAGTCAAGTCGAGTAACTAAGTCAACATTCGAAAATAAAAATCTCAAAAATCGTACATCTTTGATTTCTAAAATAATTTGTGAGGTGGTAAACCGTTATTAATGATAATACACATTTTTACGTATTAATTTTTAGTACATCTCGAATCCATTCTCAACAAAGCGTTCTCAAAATAAGTATTCGAAATATTTGAGTTCGGGATGATAAAAGTACGTTACGATATACCGCTGACCTTAACAAACTCATTTGGGAACAAGATATAGAATCAAATGCATAAATCTTCTTATATACTCCCTGACACATGCCAACGAATGTTACATAAGTAAATATCTCCGTTTTAAATAATTTTGTGAACGTTGTTCTCTACAGGTGCCATTTTTATAATTGAAAAACAAAATTGAACATTTTGCCTTTCTAAATTGATAAGTTTCTTGGAATACAACTTAACCGTTGACGATTAAGGTCATTAATAATATTTCCCTTCGTAATCCCATGCTAAATAAACAGTAACTAGGTCATTGTTTTGTGTTCAACCTTGTTTTCATGACTTTTAAACATGAGTCGACAATTATGTAGGAAATACCAATTCCAAATGTAAGCGCGACAACTCCAGTTTTTGCACAAAATTTAGCCTTTTACAGGGTGTATCAAAAAAACGCAACAAGTAGTTATCTCGTAAAATCACAAAACTAGCGATGACTACATCAATTTCATTCAATGTACCATAAAGCCACGTCTCTCCTCTTTGCAATGATATGTCATTCATTCACATATGATAATGGTTGGGTGAAAAATCCTTCCATGTGCACAGTGGGTCAAAATCGGCTCTGCGCCAATTTAGATATTGAAAAAATCAGTGCAAGGGCTAAGGTCGCCATCGAATTTTGAATCGATTCAAAATTCTAAATCACATACCCCGTCCGGGAAAGTCCATGAAGTTTGTAAACAGACCGTAGAACGTTGTAGCTACGTTTATTCAGTTTGCACACAGTTTAAAACCGATTCGGCAACGTTTTGACGATCACCAGAAAATTTTGAGCATGCTCTAAGTGCTGGAGGACCTACTCGTTCTAGTAGTTTCATAAAGTTTGTAAACAGATCCCAAACGGTTGTTAGTGGGTTCTTAGAACGTCAAATTCGTTCGTGCACAGTTAAAGCCCGTTTTCGAGAACGTAGTGAGAACTAGTTTGGTGTGATAGTAGGGTTACATTTTGTCTTACATCACAATTGCATTTGTATTGTAATATCATCATATTATATATGTGTGACATCACCGAAACGCCACATTAAGCAAGTTGGAGCCAGTTTTGTAAAATGAGCGGTGCGTTTTTATTAAACGGAAATGCAATGCATTATCTGTTCTAATTTGGTGAACATGATCTAATTCATCGATATTTTTACTTAGAATTCATTTTTCTCTCATAGTCTTGGCTTGAAATGACTTTTTGCAAAAAAATCTTTAAATATAATTACAATTTTATGTATTTTTCAGTTTTTTCTCATTTCCATGCAAATTATACGAGAATAACATGCATAAATAATGCACATAAAAATAATCGTGAGATAGTATTTCGTGATTCCCAGTTACCAGATTGTACCTACATAGCATTTGTCATATGGGGCGAGCTGATTTGCAAGCTGGCTCCAAGTTGGAGCCAGTTTTGAAAAGTGAGCGGTGCGTTTTTATTAAACGGAAATGCTTGTATAATCTATTCTGATTTAATGAATATGATCTTATTCATCGATATCTGTGCTTAGAATTCAATTTACTGTCATAGTTTTGGCTTGAAATGACTTTTTCCAAAAAATCTTGAAATATGTAATAATTTTACGTATTTTTCAGTTTTTTCTCATTTTCATGCAAATTATACGAAAATAAGATGCATAATGCACATAACAATTATCGTGAAAAAGTATCCCGTGATTCCCAGTTGCTAGATTGCCCCTACATTGCTTGTGTAAGATGGAGCGAGCTGATTTGCAAACTGGCTCCAGGTTGGAGCCAGTTTTGTAAAATGAGCGATGCGTTTTTATCAAACAGAAATGCAATGCATAATCTACTCTTATTTAACGAACATGATTTAATTCATCGATATTTTTACTTAGAATTAAATTTCCCCCATAGTTTTGGTTTGAAATTACTTTTTGCAAAAAATCTTGCAATATGTTACAATTTTACTTATTTTCATTTTTTTCTCATTTCCATGCTACTTATACGAGAATAAGATGCATAATGCACAACAAAATGATTGAGAGAGAGAATCTGGCTTTTAAAACTGGCTTCTTGGTAACTGCAGAAGCCGGCTTCTGTAAATCATTCGAAGCCGGTTTTTAAAAGCCGGCTTCTTGGTGACGCCAGAAGCCGGCTTCTGATGTACTGTAGAAGTCGGCTTTAAAAGCCGGCTTTGCAAGCCGGCTTTGTATATTTGCTTTCGACTCTTTCTCAGTAGACTAGAGGTTAGTAGACTGGCAATATCTCAGCGACAAAAAGTGCTAGAACAATCTAGTTTGCATCAATTAAAAGTGTTTTGATGTATATCCAAATGCTTATAACAGGAAAACATTTTCCAATCATTTCCGGCAAATGATAAGCAAAGAAGTGCGAAATAGGGTTTTCCATTGAAAAGTGGGCGTCGCCCACAATGTAATCCAATGGGACGGAAAGAATGGCCGACGGACTATGGAATTTTTCCTGCATCTTTATTCGATTTTCACACTTTTGTATTTGATTACAAC